CCCCGCTCCCTCCCCCGCAATGCCAGCCTTCCCGACGATTGCGACGCCCAAAAGAGCAGAAGACCAGGCTGAAGCTCTCCAACCGAGCCCTCGAACGCAGCCCCGCCCCCGTTCTGCTAAGGGTCGAAACGGAGAGCGGTTGTTCCCGCAGGAGTCCTCCCATGTTGTTCCCCTGCCACCAGCAGCACCAGGTCGTCTCTGAAGTTGCGCCTCTTCTCCCTGGTGTGGACCGTCAATTCTGGCATTATTTCGCTCATCCTTGCCGTGAATCGCTCCGAGGAAAGCATGAGCTTGGAGAAACCATTAGGTGCGACAACGACGTTCGGCCGCTAACATCACTGCTTTCGTCCACACCAACACACAACGCCTCTTCATCGTAGAAACTCAGGAAGCACAATCTCACCTTAACTCTGCTACAGCACTCGCGAAGGCCGTCTTTGTTCGCTCCTGCAGTCGGGAGGGCAACCCTTGTGCTTGCCAACGGCGTGCTACATCGCTACGCCGCCAGGATGATAGCCCAATCAACCCCGCCCACGGCGTGCGATGGTGTGGGTTGGAATGGTCTATGTTTGCACTAATAACGAATCCTGGGCTCTGATTCCCTTGCACTTTAAAAAAGTTGGTTCTAAATGAGGTGAATGGAGCCCTCTGATTGGCTTACACTAATCAAAATAGGCCTAAATCATAAACCCGGCGCCTGAGATGAGATGGATGATCCGTCCGTGGCTGAGAGGGCCGGCCGAAAATGACGGAGCCCCCTGCCCACGGCTTGACCAAGAACCAGAAATGGGTATACCTGGGACCTTTATCACCACTTTAGGGTGCAGTAAGAAATCAACACGTTTGCACCCCCAGGCTGTCAGCTGATTGGCCGAAAAACAATTGTACCCATTTCGGAAGAACCCTCCATCGGGTACAACTTCCGCTGGAATTAGGACCCTATGGTGCGACCGATATTGGTTGCTGGTGTACCCGGAAGAGGTCGTTTTTGTACCCAGAAATTGTCATATAATCCCGGCGCCCGATGCTCTAGGAGAAAACCCGCAGAAAAAAACGTGTACCGCACATACCGTGTACCGCACATACATAACCACAACCAAACGACCAACAACGCTAGCTCGTTCATCGTTCGTAAGCACCGCTTCCTCCATAGGATACCGTCCCCTCTCAACAGAGGGTCGGAGTCGCTTGACGCGCGAGTTCGTTCGGTGTAGTGCTAATCAGTAAAAGCACAGAGAGGGAGAGAGGCACACAGAGAGAGAGGCCTAGAGAGAGAGAGAGAGGCACAGAGAGAGAGACAAACGGGCACGACCTGCCTCGTGCACCCGTTCTGGTTACTTCTCTGTCACAAATAAACGTCAAATGAAACACGCTCACCCTGACGCCTCACACGGGGCCCCAGATATGTTCTATTGAAGCGTGTTGTTGCCGTTGTCCCTCACACGGCCTCGTCGCCGAAATATAGCCCCGTAATCTCTGGTCGCCTTAGTTACTGCTGCCACCCCCCCCCCAGTACTGGTAGTGTTGATATTTGGGGTCAATAACGACATGACAAGGTTGGAGTTCAAAAGTATATGTGAAGAAGTAGGATTATATTGCTTCGCACGGGG